TAGACTTTATTATGTTGTTCTGCTACGTAAGATGTCAGCGTCTGATAGTCTCTATTGTTGGTGCAGTTCTGTAGTTTAACAGCGTAAGCAAAAAGTCCAATTTGACTCTGCAGTGTGAAGGAGGCATTTACTGTGTTGATATGGCTTTCCATGAGGAAAACTAGTTGTTTTTGTCTCTAAACTGAAGCTTTGATGCAGAAAGCTTTATGCTATGCCTGCTGATATATAGCTATTGTAAGGATTATTGTCAGATATGCTGTATTAGCAATACTGTTATCTGATTATGTGGTTACTGTGTTTAGCTACGGTATTTTATGAGGCTGTCTTTGAACAGTGGGAATCTATGTAGTACAATGTAGTTTGTTGGGGGAATTGTTTTCCTTCTCTGTCACAGAAGTCTGATTGTTACTGCTTTACCTAATGGGGTGAGTGTGGTGGTGTGGTTTTTTGTGTGTGTGGTTTGGTTTGTTGGTTGGGTTTTGTGATGGCTTTTGGTTGGTGTCGTTTGTTGTGTGTGTTGGTGTCTGCCCCCATCACAAATAAGGCCTCTTTTCTAGACTTCTAGACTACTGAACTGTAGATAATTTAGGTTTTGTTAATTTGTACTTATATGCTGCTGTTCTGTTCTTTAGCCACACCTTGTGTGATAGACCTTTCCAAAGGGAGTCTCTGTTTCACCCATCACTGGCTGCTTTTAGGGTGGCTTCAGAATGGCTTGCTTTTTTTTTTTTTTTCTTTTTTCTGATACTGATCATCACTGGAGTTGTCAGGCATCACGCTTAGTCAAAAGCCTTTGCAACAGTCACCACCTAGTCCCTTATAGCTTTTCCTTGCTTTGCTTACCACATTCTCAGATCTATAATAGAAGTTGTACGTAAAGAAGAGAGAAACCTACTGCCTTTTACTGTCCATAGTGATCCTCCTACACCAGCATATTGTAGGAGCTTGTGGCTATCAAGATTGCAGGACAAGAAAAAAACAATGGGAAACTTAATACTGGACAGATACAGGAAGCACAAGACCATAACTACATAAGAAAGCATTGCTATGTTTATCTCTGAGTCTACAATCTTGTGGTGTGAACAAGAAGTGTATTTCAGCTGCTCTCTAATACTTGGAGCCTGCCACCAGGAAACTGACACCGCTGTGCTTTGACTGTTTTTTGACATACATTTGCAGGGTTTTTGAGACCTTGAAATCAGCCAGAATAGGTTGTCAATGGTAGATTTTGGTTTGGGACATGGAATCTGTATTTAAAACTGAAAAGCTGTGGAGAAGCAGCACAGATGTTTTTGTACTGCATCAGATGCTGGAATCTATCCATGTGTGATTCTTAATACTTTATGGCATAATAGTTCAGTGCTGGTAGGTCTGCTAAGACCGCTAACTCATGAAGGTCTGTGAAGCTGTATCTCCACTAGTCTCTGGGCTTGTTGTCATCCAAAACATTCTGGGCAGCGTTCTAGATTCGGTGTTTTCTGAAGCCATAGATGGGCATATAGTCCCAACTACTGCAGGCAACATTAGGGTCATAGAAACCAAATATATTAATAATGGATGTGTTCTGGGACACTAGAGGTACTCTTGTATCTCCTTCCTACTCTTTGGCAGCCACAGACATGCTAGGCATCAAGATGATTAACATGTATGGCTCAAAAGTTTATCCTTCCTGTTCCTTTTACTTCATGTTTTCCAGTGTCTGTCTGTATCTTTTCTCACACGCAGGTCCTCCTTTATTTAGCTCTGCACTATAGCAGATTTTTGTGTTTGTTGATGTCAATGGCAATGATCAACATCTGGTTAAAAAGCTGGAAAACTTGCTCTCCTGTAGATGCTGGTTGCTTTTCACCTGTACCTAACTAACCAATGGAAACACATCACACAGCAACCTACCTGGACGTCCTGGCTTAATGTTCTGTGCCCAAGAGTCAGATTTCACAGGAACGTATCCCATTCTGGAGTCCCCTGCTGTGGTGTAAGTGCAGGTGCAGAAAAACATGGTTGCTCTGCTCTAGGAAGTAGAAAGAAATTTACATGGTGAAATAAAGTTTTAGTTGTGTTTGGGTTGGGCTGAAGAAAACAATGCTAGCACTTGAAGAGGACAGTTTGATATACAGAATGCTGAAGTAGTTCTTGACTTTCCAAATGTTAAAATTTTATCAGTTGGTGCTGGCTGGCCAACTATAAGTAGTAGTAATAATAATTATTTTATTTATTGGGCACCCTTCCATTGTTAAAGGCCTGTTAGATGGCTCACAAAAGATATAATCTGATCTTAATGTCCTACTTGGAGCCTCATAAAAGAAATAAAATAAAAAGGCAGTTATATGCTTAATGGTTTATGCTTTTTCTTTCATGTTGATGTAGAAGATTACAGTAAAAGGGCCAATATTGCATCTTCATTGAAATTAATGGAGTTTCAGTGACTTATCTTCATTCTGAAATGGGTCCAGAATACATTAATGCTGGTTCTTTAGGTTCAGTCATCTGATGCTGGAACATTCCTGATTGATTTGCAAGGTACCTCAACTGGATTAATTAGAGGAGAAAAATACTGTTTGCCCCTCTAAAATCTGCTTCCTGCAAAACCCACTTGCTATAAAATGTCATGTTAGGGAGACTCCTTTTCCCCATCTTCTGACTGAATTGCCATTTCTTGTGCTCTTTCTTTTCATCTTTTATGTTGTTCATTAAAAATGTTATGTTTTATGCCCCGTATTGTTCACAGTCTACAAGGTTTTTATCACTTAGATAAAAGCAATCTGCTTGATGCACAGCTGGTCTCCAGAGTGATCTGATTGCTTTTGTGATAGGCCTTAGACACCTAATGCTGTGCAGAGCATTTCTGTGCTTTTCTCAAATAACTAAATTAAATTACTTGCAGATGAACTTATTTTATAACAACAAATCCGAAGAAGATTTTTAGGTTTATGGCTGGTCTTTGTCATGCCTTCTTACATTTAGTAGCATTGTTTTCTTTGAGTGGTCCCCTTGATTTCTCGCAGAACAAGGTACAACTCAGCTTAAACATGACTTCCTTTTTCTCACTCCTCTGGTTGAGTGGGAGGAGGGAGGAAAGCTTCCCACCTCTGGAGAGGAGTCACAACTGTAACTCTTCAGAGGAAATGCATAGTTCTCTGTTAGTGTGGACTTGGATGTGGAATTAGTTAATTACCAAAAGTTGATGTTGGGCCTCCTCACTGAATATCAGATAGCCAGACCCACATACTTCTGTGAATCCTCTTTTTAAGGTCCCTGATTTTCTGCATGTCTCTGAGACACTGGCCACTGCAGACTCAGCTTAGGACTTCAGTGGATAATAGAGAACCTTGCTATTGGGTATTGGAGTATGATGCCTAAGTTTTCTTTGCTGATTTAGCCTGAAAACAGTTGGCATCCTGCTTCTCTCCAGCATGATTCTGCTTTAACTGTATGGAATCTACTTGCTCTGAAAAAACAAAAAACTTCTTACAGTAAATTACTACTTTTGCCCCATCCTGCAACATATTTTCCTATAGTCTCAGCTTGTAGTAAAGCAAACAAGAGGTTTTTAAGGAAACCTCTTATAGTTTAGTGCACATACTGAGACCACTTAGCAGCTTTTCTTCTTTTTATTGAGTTTTTTTATAAGCTACCAGCCTGCTTCCAGATGGTATAATACATGGGTGGTAACAGTCAACTGGTACAAAATATACTTCCCTAGGAATATATTATGTAGCTGGCTTTGGTCCCAACCAAGACAATCAAATAGGTTATTAGGCTGCATCAAATTCTGGTTAAAGTTAGGCCTGGTCACCCTGTAGGTAAGCAAAAGCCATCAGACTTTTTGGTCATGGGAAATGTAAATCCCATTTAGATTTGATTAATTTTTTTAGACATTTTAAACCTGTTTACTCTAACAAGAAATGTGTCATCCTCTGTGGGCTTGGAACTGTTTTACAGAGTCTCTTCTGTTGTTTCTTAAGCACTGCCTGGCTTTCTCCACACTTCATTAAAGGCAAGTAGTGGCTCAAGAGGATTAGGATAACTCAAACCCAGCATTTCTACTCCCAGTAGAAATTAATCTCTTGAAAAGAAAGCTCTGCAGGTTTTGTTCTTGCTTTATATCTTAAACTGCCTGCAGCTCTGTCATCAGTTCAGACAGTGTTTAAGGACCCCAAAGCAAAGCCCAGTGTAATAAAAAGTTTGATTATGGCTTTCCCTGATATAGTCTCATATCAGCCTAATTACTGTATCTTTGGGCTTCCTAAATCTTCTCTACAGTAGCAAGACCTGTTGCTGTAGATATTGCTGCAGGTCTACCAAATCTAAAAGACTATGAAATTTTATATTGCTATGTGTGACACAAGATAATTTAAGCTTCTTTTCCAAGTACTATGCATAAAGTTGGCTACCTCAAGCTCTAGTTATTCTCTGTGCTAAGAGATCTTACAGCACCAGATGTTAGCATCCCTGCTTCCAGCTGCTGTTGTGGTGCCCTCTTCCACATCTTTCTTTCTTTCTTCCCCAGAAAGAAAGGATATCAGTACTTCTTTATAAAAGCTTAAAATTTTCATGACTTTTTTTGTGTGCAACAAATATGTCATGACCTATCATGACCTGTTTATAAAAGATCCATTGCAGTGTATCTTAAAACAGAGTCCATAGATACAGGTGTAAAGGGGAGGCTGGAAACAAGGAGAAAGTATTACGATCAAGTTTTGGCATTGTTCTTGGAAGCAGTTACGTCCAGAAAACTGCAGAGTTTATATTTCATTAGTCAGCAGCAGGCAGTCCTCAGATTTGTAGCATTATGGATGTGAGCTCAACCTAGCAGTGGTGTATGTCTGTCATTGTTAACCATTACTATCAGGTGATGGTCATCAGTGGTTTAGGCTAAGGTGTTCTAGTTCATGCTGGAGTGGGCTGTGTTCTCAGGGAAGCAAGTAGCAGTAGGACTGCTCCAGATCAGGTAACTTGTTGAGACTTTGTAGCTCATCATCTGTTTTTATGCCTTGCAGAATTCTGTCTTTCTAATTTTCATGAAATTGAAATAAGATTCTTCTGCTCTAATCAAAAGAAGATGCCTGACAGTTCCCTGTGTAATCATACTGTAAACAACTGTGGGTAATTGTTCTTTATTTTCTTTTGTTGTTTACTTCATTTCAGTTTTCTCTACTAATCTGTTTTATACAGCTGTCGTGGTTTAAACCCAGTCAGGTAATTCGTTCGCTCACTTTCCCCCCTTTTCTTTCCCTGCCCCTGCTCTCGGAGGGACAGAGAGGAGAATCGAAAAGAATGCAACTACCACGGGTTGAGATAAGAACAGTTTAGTAACTAAGGTATAACACAAATCACTACTGCTACTACCAATAATAACAATGATAAAGGAAATAACAAGGGAAGAGAATACAACACCTCAGCACCAGCCGACCGATAACTCGCCCCCCACGCCTGACCAAGCACCGACCGATACCTCCTCCAACCCTGCCATCTCCCAGCCCTTCCGGCTAACTCCCAGTTGCATCCTGGGCATGACGTGCTGTGGTATGGAATACCTCTTTGGTCAGTTTGGGTCAGGTGTCCTGTCTCTGCTTCCTCCTGGCTTCCCCTCCTCCCTGGCAGAGCATGAGGCTCACAAAGTCCTTGGCCAAACCAAAACATCCTTGTTATCAGCTCTGTTCCTGAGCTGAAAGTCAAAACACTGCACTACACCAGCTACCAAGGAGGAGAAAAATGACTGCTACTGCTGAACCCAGGACAACAGCACTGTACAAAGTAGTAATCAAAGAAATGGAAATACATTCAACATCTGCACTTTTTGTTTTCCAAATAAGAAATAATTTCAGACTGTACTTTGGTTGTATAAGTTCGTATTTCTCTTATTCCTGGGAATCCCCTTACCTAAAAGTTACCAATACAGATTTTTGCCTTGGAATTCTAGGCCATTTGGGAACAGGAATCTTCATTGTTTGAGTTCTGTAATGATACATTTTTACAAGCTTGTGGAGAAAAGATAAAAGCTGAGCTTAATAAGTATTGAGGTTAGACTTGAGACTCAGCTGACAAGGTGGTAAAGCTGTGCAAATGTTTGTTGTAAAACTTCACCAAGCACTGGGAAGCATCATGAGTGTGGAAGTAAAAATCTCATGGTTTTGATGCCAAACAAACCTTACATTTTATGTGAATGGTGGTTTGGTTTCGTTTAGTTTTGCTTTTCTTCCCTGGGTGGAAATTACTAGGTCATGTTATTACTCATGAGACAGGACCCGGAGTGAGATGCTAGCATTTACAATACATTTTCTGTGGGGTTTTTTTGTTGTTTTTTTTTTTTTTTCTCTGTGTGTGGGGTTTTTTTGGTTTTTGCTTTGTTATTTTTTTTTTTTTAATGAAACGCCTGCAATTTTGATAAACATGCTTCTTGCACTTATTACATACATGTACACATACACATCTTTATGTCAGAAGAGGACTTAAGGTCAACATTTTTTTCAAATGCCTTAGTGAAAACTGCTTTCATAATTCATTCAGCATGTATGTGAATATTGCATTTTCTCATGCTGCTTTTTTTACTGCTTGGTTTGGTTTATTTTTTAAAGAAATCTCTCAACAGAAGTTGTAAGTAGAAGTCAGAACAGTGTCTGTGGGGAACCTGGTTAGGAAGGGTGGTGTACAAGTATTCTACCACACAACAAAAAACAAAATAAACCCAAACCCCTAAAAATGCTTGCATTCAACAGCATTTTCATTAACGATGGTTAACAGCTCTATGACTGTTCAGCTGTTGTCAATATCTTGGTTACTATCTTGCTATTTAAAAATAAATAGACTGATATATAGGCAGACACACTAAAACCAGGTAGTATTACTGACAATTCCACTATAACTTTCAGCCCACCAACATAAAATTCTACCACTAAATCTCTCAGAGTAAACTATGCAGAGATAGAAAAGCCCGAAGGTATTAAGAGTGATTTTGATATAAATTCCAATTTTATTTTATGACCATTTTACAGCTGCTTCTAGATATCTTCTCTCGTAAACTAGAAGGTACAAGGCAAATGTTACCTCTTTTTCTTTTTCTGCAGGGTTTCAGGCAGTTGGTTTATTGTGACATGTTAGCAGCTTTTTCTTTGCACTGCACATTCATAAAAATGAATTTTAATGACACTAAGCTAGCAGAAGACCCATAAAGAAGATGCAATTATGTTTTAAGTATTCATAAAAAAAGTTACATTAAGTTTACACATTTTGATTTTTGCCTGTGACAGTCAAAAGAAATAGCATATGAGGCCATGTAAATCCATACAATTGAAATGACATTACTGTATGGCCTGCATATCCTGAAAACATTTCTCCATGCAAATAGGAAAGCTTTTTGCTGGGGAAGGTCAGATCGAAGAAAAAAAAAAAAAAAGCAATACTCTGGAACTGCCCAGTGGCTTCCTAGTTCCTGTTAGCATCACTGCTGAGTGATATCACTAATGCATGTATAGTTACAGAATAAAACATTTACTTGGTCACTGAGCAGCAGTAACAAACAGCAAAATAAGTTCTTGACATTCTTATTTTGAACTTCACAAGGAAATTTTAGGCCTGTAAAATGAAGGTTGCTTTAGCAATGTATAGCCTGAAATTTGGAAATTCCTATGAGTGGGATCTCCATCTGTAAACTGAGGGGATGCTTTCATACATTAGCAGTAGCAATTAGCAATAGGCTGCAACTTAAAAAAAAAATGCATGAACAATGAGGAGTTATAGTAATGGGAATGCCAAATTCTATATAGAAGGACATGGAACTTTTGGAGCAAGTCCAGAGGAGGGCCATGTTCATGATAAGTGGGCTGGAGCACCTGTATGAATACAAGCTAAGTTGGGGCTGCTCAGCCTGGAGAAGAGAAGGCTGCCTGGAGACCTAATAGCAGTTTTCCAATATGTGAAGGGGACCTGCAAGAATGCCAGAGAGGGACTCTTCATCAGGGAGTATAGAGACAAGACAAGAAGAAATGGGTTAAAACTTAAACAGGGGAAGTTCAGGTTAGGTATAAGGAAGAAGCTCTTTACTGTGAGGGTGCCGAGGCGCTGTAACACGTTGCCCAAGAAACGTGGCAGTGTTCAAGGCCAGGTTGGACAGAGCCTTGGGCAACATGGTCTAGTATGAGGCATCCCTGCCCATAGTAGGGGGGGTTGAACTGGATGATCTTTAGGTGCTTTCCAGCCTTAAAATATAATACATGAGTAGTAATTTCTTCAAGCTAGTATTTTATTCATATAAACTGATGTTGCTAAAAATATACCCTTCACGTTTCTCATTGGAAATTGGTTAAAGTTTATGGGACACTCTGAAGTTTAGTTTAAAAGTTTAAACTCTTGTGTTACTAATAGTTTAATTTGAGGTTGCTTAGGTTTCTTTTGCACGTCTTTTTTTACAGCTAAGTTCGACTGCCTGTCATTCATAAGGCAAATAAAAATTTCTACTACTTTTAAAGAAAAGGTGTTATTTCTCTATAAGAAATGCTCTTGCTCTTGCTGCAAAGATGGTAGTGCTACAAGACTTTTGATTTTGATGTAGTACCCAAGCACCATGCTAAGTTGTCTTCTTCATATAAAGACATAGTTATTTGACATCTTTGCTTTATGCAAGCAGGTCAGTAAATGTTAAAAATTATTTCATAAATGTTGTGCATGTATATTTGTAAAAAAGCCAGCAGCATGCTTGATTATTCTTAGAATTCAGGCTTATGGCCAAGACCCTGATGTGCAGAGGAAAAACAATTTTAATTGTATTACTGTAAGTTGCTAATTCCTGTCTAATAGCTGTCTTCTGTCCTCACTGATACCATTTCCTACCATTATGTTTAAAATGTGTGGGCTGAAATATTCCGCACTCTAAAAGCTCCAAAACTTAGTTGATTAGAATTAAACTTCTTGTGCAATTTTAGACTATATTTTTCGCTGTATTTTTGAAATTCAAGGTAATATATTAAGTATATAAAAGGTAAACATTTCACATTTTCTAATGTTATTTTCAGCATTGCTCATCACTGAGATGAATGAACTTCTGGTTAAAACAAGAAAGCTGACTAAAAGTGTGTTGTTCAGGGAAATGAAGTCTTTGTTGAAAGTTTTGTTTGCCATTTGAGTTTGACATTTGTTTCCCTGCTGGCCCACCACAGATAGTTTCTCAGATCTATACCGTGACTGTTTTGAAGTCCGCTGGAATGTAACAAGACCCAGTAGAAGTTAAACACTGATTTAATTTGCTTAGAGTATGGCAGAGGGAATATGGACCCTATTTTTATCCAGTTCCTCCTTTGATTGCAGTTTTATTCAACTATGTAATTATATCAGTTTATCACAGTACAGAATTTGTGCCTTTTTTCCCTTCATTATTTAGATATAATGGGATTTTTATTTGACATTTACATCTTTACAAAGAAAAAAAAACCACACCTGGTAACTAATTTCTGTTCAAAACCCCTAACTCCCAATCAGTTCATCTTATTACTAATGTTCAGAGCCATATTATGCTGTGAACAACCCGAAGTTTCTAATTTATGTTAAAAACTCTTGTGAATTTGAGACTGAAAGGCACAGGAGTATTTGATAAGTTCAACCTTGTTCAGTTTTTCTAATGGTTGAGTCAGAGAGAGGAGCTGGTGAATCCTGCTCCATCGACTTAGTACCTTTGAAGTTCTTTGCTGGTCCCATGTGGGAGCCTGCCTGTTACCAGGCTAAATACCAGTTTTGCAGTCTAATGGGTATGCTTGCTCCTCCATGCTGGAGGTCTTTAAAGTACTCCAAAAGATTTCTTTATTTCCAGTGGACTATGTTTGTTCATAGACTGGACATTTGAAGAGCAAATAGTTTTGCTTTGAAGTCTGTGAGATCTTCCTCCCTTGAGCTCTGTTAAGGACTTTCAATTTTTAGTATAGGATTAAATTTTTTCTAAATACAGATTAGCTCAGCATAAGTTTAGTAATCAGTGTTGCATTATGGAGCATACCAGCTAGTTTTATTCTAAAAGAACTGAGCAACCTTAGCAGTGGGAGCCTTTGAGCAGCAGAAGCCAGCTCTTCATGGTGGGGTACTAATACTCAGTTTCACTTTACACTAAAATGTAGTTGCCCCCTGCCAGTTTGAGTGTCTAGATACACAGTTCTGTCAAATGTAAGCATCAGTTTTAGAAAACTGGATATTGTATCTTCAAAATACTTCACTGTGGTTTAAAGATATTCTTGATGAGGCAGTCTTTCTACAATTTATGTAATTTTACCACATCAGCTAGTCCAAAACCTGTATTTCATATAAAATTGATACTTTACGAACACGATACAACACTTTACGAACACAGTGTTATAGAGGCAAGGGTGGAAAATAGTTTTCAACAGTAAGTAGTTGAAGTATAGACTGATTATATCTCAGATATCCAAATATTTTGGAAAAAACTGTTTCTGTTATGTGTTGCATTCCCATGTTTCAAAGAAAAAAGGTATGAAGTACATGACACCATGGTAAACAATTAGTGATGTATAGATTGTTAATTTTCCACTGTCAAACAAGAAAAGCAATTGAGCAATATTCATCATTGCAATAAACTAAATTAAACAAGATGTTTCCTAATGTGCTTTATTGTGAATAACAGGAGCGTGTGAAACGATTCAACAGCATAAGGCAACATTTAGTGCTTTTGCCCCAGGGGCATGTGCCACTGATACCATCTAACTAAATTGATGTTGTTAAACATCAGACAAACAGGCTCCTGGGGGGATGCTTACTTGAGTTTAGACAGTGGTTTATTTTGGTTACAGCTTTTTCTGTTTATAGTCAATTTAAGAGGAGCTGAATTCTGTTATTTGTGATTTGGGAGAAAATTGTCCATACTGTAATCTGTTTCCATTGATTTAACCAAAGTTATAATCTCAATTGAGTATTCAGCTAGAGCATGTATAGGGAACATGGTAAACAAATACTCTGAGTTTATGCTACATCTAGATTTGGCCGACTTCTTTCTCCCCTAAGTTTCTAAGATCCTCAGTAAATAAGTAGATCTTGCCCTGCTGTTCTTCAATAATTAATACCATTATTCAATGGATAGATGCTGTAATTCACAACAAAGTTTGAGGAAGGCATTTTTATATTTCCCTATTGTGTAACTACAGATAGCTCCTAGGCAAGAGGCTGTAGTGGTTCATGATAAAAAAACTTCTGACATAGATGCACAAGTTTGTGCTGTAGATTCCTTAGGAATTAGGAACTTATTTTTTTTTTCAATGCAATGAAAATATGGTTAAAGAAATGCTGATAAAAACTACATGGCATCCAGAAATATTTTCCTATTTCATTCCTAATACGCTCTTTCTTTGTTCACGCATCAGACCCACTTCAACTTCAGTCTGCTAATTTCTCTTTTTGATTAAGTTGAAACATGGTTCTGATAAAAGCTGTTAAGTATTTTACTGTAGAAATAGCTCAACTGAGTGATAAGGACTTTTTAATTCATAATTTTTTGGGGTGGGAAGAAAGGCTTCTTGGTCAGAAGAGCAGAGAGCTGAGAAAAATTTTCATGTATAGTGTAACAATATCCTGAAAGAGACAGAAGAGAATGATGACTTATCCAAAGATGTTAAGAATAAGGTCAAACTTTTTATACCATGAAAAGTATCAGATCACACTTTGTCACTGTAACTAAATGCATATTCTTTATTTATTTTCATAGCTATGGGTACAAGACTTCCTTATTAACACAGATACAGTATCATCATATAGCTCACCTTTTGTATCACTGTTTTGTTCATATTATCACATAGAATTATCTGCATACCTGTTTTTATGTAAACATGTCTATATATAAGGATGGAAGTTGCCTTGATTTCTAGTGTTCTTATTAAATACATCATAACAATAATTCTGACCTTATTTAACTTCCTTATCTTTGTCGTTTTTTAAGCTTACTACAGGAAAGGAATTTGGATCCTCCTCGTGGTGCTGCAGTGAATGAAAATATAATCTGTCCTTAATGCCAGGAAAAAAACCCAAACATTGGGTGTGGGTTGGGGGTTGTGAGTGTGCGGTGTGGTTTTATGGGGGTCATTTGTTGTTTGTTTGGTGTGTAGGGTTTTTTGTTTGGTTGGTTGGTTTGCTTGTTTAAGTTCCATCCTTCTTGATGAACTGCCTAGATTCCTAATTTGGGAGTGGATGGGGAGAAGCTTGCAGTACCTGGTAGTATTGAAGTATAAATATAATTATGAAATTCTATGTAATATAGATAATGCTCAGATTATCTTTATTGGTTCTCGGTCCAAACATACATTAATGGATTTTCGTGAAGCACTGTCAATTTGTAGGTTGTCTGTGGATTTGAGGTTTTCCCTAATACATGTATACACTATCTAAAATTAATTTTGGATTGTCCCTAAAGTAAATTGTTCAAGACTGTTTTGTCTGCACAATTCAAAGCAGGTTAATGAACTACTACTCTGGTTTTGGTCCTAGGCAAATTGAGAAACTGTTTCCCCATTTGTGTTTTCAGTAAGCTTCTCTTTAAATAATATGTAGAAGTAGAATTAACTTAATAAGAAATAAAGACTGGAAAGCAATATGCAGTGGTCTGTGATCCTGTTATGGTAAGGTTGTTTGTAATAAGCAGTTTTGGATTTTGCTTTATTCTGTTTTAACTTTTGTGTTATAGTCAGCTTCATTGTACAGGGTCCCTCACTAACACTGATCCTATACTTCAGTCAAATTATAAATAATTCAAAAATTACAAGTGTTACAGTTAAAAACACATACTGATGCTTCTCATTGCTGTATCTGTAGTGAGCTGGTCTTCTGAAGTTAAAACGTATACAGTTGTCTCTAACATGTTTGAGGTATACGCCACCAGCCTGTTACACAAACCGGTCCAACACTTTGCTCACAATGGATGTGCTCACGAAGATTAACGTTACCTGTAGTTGACAGTTATGGTTACACAGTTGTGCAATACCATCACATACTAGGAAAGCATGACCTACTACATTAATATGGATGACATAAATGTGTTAATAGCAAGTCCCTCTTTGACCACACTATTTGTATAGTAATTGGTGCTTACTAGTACAGGTAATACTAAATCGAGCTATTGTTTGTAGCTCTGAAAATCTGGTCAACAGAAAACAGAACAACAACATTTAACATGAGTTATGCTTATAGGTAGTAACCAAATCAGGGAGAAACGAATTTATAGATTTTCATAGTGGGAGAATAACAACAATTGCTTCATATGATGGATGATAGTATAAATAATGTAAAGAAACATTTTGAAATTAGCCTGTGGTTCTCTTTTCTAAATATAAGTTGTGTTATGTGGGCTTGTCATGGTTTAAGTGCAGTCAGTAACCCACTCGGCCCACTCCCTCACTCCCCGACTTGCTCCCCCCTCCCCCCGCTCCCCGAGGGCCGGAGAGGAGAATCGAAAGAATGCAACTCCCACGGGTTGAGATAAGAACAGTCCAGTAACTAAGGTATAACACAAATCACTACTGCTACCACCAATAATAATGATAAGGGAAATAACAAGGGAAGAGAATACAATACAACCCATCGATACCCAGCCGGACCGAGCAGTGACCTAGCCCTTCTGGGTAACTGCCCCCAGTTTATATACTGTGCATGATGTGATGTGGTATGCAATACCTCTTTGGCTAGTTTGGGTCAGGTGTCCTGTCTCTGCTTCCTCCCGGCTTCCCCTGCTCCCTGGCAGAGCATGAGACTCAGAAAGTCCTTTTTCAGACTAAACATTTGAGCAGTAATTATAAACATCGGTGTTACCAGTGCTGTTCCCAGGCCGAAGGCCAAAAACACAGCGCTGCACCAGTTACTAAGACGGAGAAGAAATGACTGCTACTGCTGAACCCAGGACAGGGCTACAAGACTTAAGCAGTTAACACCACCAAAGAGTCTATCCCATGAAGTTAGAATGAGATGCATTGCTAACAGAGCATGTGTCTAGTAGCTATCATCTGCAGAACTGAAATACATGTATTGTACTTACTGTAACAGAATGATTCCAGACTTTCAGTATTGATAATAAATGTAGTTAAGATTAGAGAAAATTTTAAGATAAAATAATTTGTCTGCTGAAATTAAGATATTAATTGAAGAATGAAGAACCCATTTTCTAATTATATTATCGCTGAACTACTTCACGTAAAATTGAAGCGTTGCATGCAGCATCCTCATAAACAACTTTTATTAGTTAATTCACAAAGTGAGTGTTGCATGGCACTAGGAGCTGGTAGCAGGACAAAGTGAGATCTCCTGAGTCTGTACTGTGCCTTCCAAGATGACATTGAGATGTTTCAAGAAGGCAGAGCAAAGTAGCTTGAATTGCTGCTCACTGCCCTATTGACTGTCCTGCACTGTTTTTAAAAAGTACTTATTCCCGTTAGTGACTTCTGCCAGGAGTACTTATTCCCGTTAGTGACTTCTGCCAGGTAACTGAGAATGTAATAACTATTCCTTTTAGTATTCCAGGGGAAAATACAGGAATGAAAATGATCCCAAAGTACTTTGTTCAAGTGAAAAGCATCAGAGAAGTGAAAGAATCACAATCTTTTCAGGTTGATTTTGTGATTTCTTTAGTTTTCGAGTGGTGACTAGTTTTATAAATAATAAATAGGTATTTTCATTGGGTTTCTTATGCAAGCCTGATTCAAAGTTACTAGATTTGGAGGTCACCTTCTGGCTTATCCTGACTGCTGTCATCAGCAGTACCTGGTCCGTAGCACTGCATTTACAGATGTGTTCTCAGAAGAGGAAAAGGGTGTCTTGGCCTAGTTGTCCCTCTGCCTCTGATCTCCTTTACTGTAGCTGAAATAGTTGTTTTTTTATCTTTGAAGCTTGTGAGGACTGATGTATGGTGTAGCACATAAAAAAATAAAATATGCAGAGGGTTTTTTGAGTCCATAAATCATGGTTAGTAGCAACTCTTTTTTTTTTTTTCTGAAGAGAGAAAATAGGAGAGAGGAAGTAGGAAAAAAAAAAGCAACCTTGCCCTAGCATCTTGTCAAGAAAAGTTCCTTATATTTTTCCCTGTTCAGGTTAGAAAACTGAGCCCTATTTTTAATCCCCAGTTCACTGCAAGAGAACACCAGGTAGTTATTTCTAGCAACTGTTTGTCATAAAGTAAGGTATAGCCTAAAGAGACACTCTTCATAAACACTGAGCACCAGAAATACTGTTTGTATTAAGTTGGACCATATGAATAATACAGAAGTCATGAATTTAAATTATTACTGGCATTTGGAGAAAATGGCAATATTTCAGCCATTAAATAACAAGTTTGCTTTATTTCTGGAAACAGAATGTTATTAAGCTGTAAATCATATTGATACTATGGCTTAGGTGTATTTCTGGTTCTCAAACCATCCAGACATCTCAACAGTACTGTGTTGCACTAAATTGTTTCCTCAAAGGTCAGCAGCCCACTCCTGTGAGATGCTTGGGCAATAGCCATGCTATAATGGCATTATTTTATTATCCTAGGGCTAGGTGCAACTGTTTGTGGAGCCAATATACCACAGAGTTTTTGAGGTGGATTGTCTAACCCACCTTGTGTTTGTTTCTGCAGTTCTGTAACTGGTGGTGTTGGAAAAGCTATTTATGTAAAGCTAACTTGGGTACAGTACACAAAGTAGTATTGTCGCGGGAACTTTTTCTCCCTGATTTTTTAATTTTACCTGTTTACGTATCCTTAACAGAGTAGGACAAAAGCTTTGCCAGATGATGACCTACACTGGTAAATAGTTATGTCTGTAGTCTGCAGCACTCATAATTTGTGTTTCCCATTCCTGCTGTTCCTTCACCCTTCAACCTCCTTTCACTACTAACTAGTGAAATTAAGTTGAGGTGAATTGGAAAAATAAGTGTAAACTGTGTAGATGAGGCCCTTAGTGACATGGTTTAGTGGTGGTCTTGGCAGTCCTGGTGTAATGGTTGAACTTGGTGATCTTAAGGGTCCTTTGCAACCTAGCTGATTCTACAATTCTGTGTTGTTTCATAGAAAAACTGAATATAGTGGCCATAAGAATAGAAGAAAGAGTCTCTTGTTGCTTTAGTTGTTACTTCAAAAGGGGAAACTCAGGATAACACAAAAAGATGTGGTAAGAGAAATCACCTGCACTGATAAGCTCAGACACTTGAATATGCAGGGGTTTCACACTTCTCTTCATCAGAGATACAAGAGACATCAGAAACCAGAATACTAAGAAGGAAAAAACACAGATACAGAAGAATTGCAAATCCAGCATGACAAAAAATAAGCTCCAAGAGGAAAAAGCCTTTGGAGGTTGAAAGAAGCACTGAACAGCACAGGAGGCAAAATGCTAGGGCTTAGGCTGTGTACAGATAAGATTTTATAAAAGTCAAGCAGTCTTAGAACTTGTGAAAGAAGTCAAAGCAAATAGGAAAAGGTTTTTCAGCAATATACGTAGAAAAAAGACTAAAGAAAGAAAAGCCTTCTAGGTTGTAGGATGGGATAAGATAAAGAGTAAAAATGGCAAAATAAATAACATGCTTCAGAATCTGTAAGGATGATTAGGTTGAGTGTGGGCTCAAAGACAGGAGAGAACAAGGGAGAGAGGGAATGAAAGCTGAGATGCAGAATATTTTATAAAAGGAAGTTAATGACCTTGAAATAATAAAAAGGAATTGAGGTTCAGCAGTACAAACTCTTACATCATTTTTTTTTTTTAAGCATTAAAACCATAACTTTCTGTTACAAAGTTTGGACTGCTACTTTTAGAGAAAGCAGAGATGGAATAACTTGGGTGGAGGGGACATTCATAGAGTGCTTCTGAGCTACCACCACTGTGGGGTGTCTTTGGGACAGGAAGATACAAACTGAAATGGAGGCAATTATTTCCATAGACACAGGACAGTTGGAAACTGGAAGAGCTCTGTTTTTTCAGTCCAGTAAAACAGAATTTGAGAAAGGTAGTTCTGGTAATGGGCTCCTAAAATATGAAACATCGCTGCTACTGAAGTTATTATGCAGGTTGAAACACTGGTAACATTGAAATGGCCTTGGGTTTGGGTGTGGGAGAAAGGGAGGTTAAACCTATCATGTCATTAGCAAATAAGCTGTCTGCCTTGCCTGAAATCACAGGGATTTCTCCCCCCCCCCCATTCCCGCAATATTAATATAGTATTCACATCCAACCTACTATGACCACCAGTGAGCCACAAATTATCTTAGTCATTTTCTGCTATAAGTGGCTTTATTTAAGGAAAGTAAGTATTCACGCATACTGAAAATAATTATTCCTTTCCTCCTTCACACCTGCCTAAGATTCTGGCTTTTGAAACACTGGAAGAAGTTCTTTACTGTGAGGGTGGTGAGGCACTGGAATGGGTTGCCCAAAGTTGTGAATGCTCCATCCCTGGCTGTGTTCAAGGCCAGGTGGGACAAGAGCCTTGGGCAGTATAGTTTCATGTAGGGTATCCCTGCCCATGGCAGGGGGGCTGGAACCAGATGATTTTAAGGTCCT